ATGTTTGACTATAACACCAATGTAAGAACATACATTTAGGGGAAGGAACGACAGGTTACAATACCTTCTCATGTCTCATAACGCACACTAAGAACTTCATTTGGACAACTTTAAAGGCGATTTTCTCAATATTTAGATTTTTTTGCACCGTCAGATTCCAGATTTTCAAATAGTTGTATCTCCGCCTCGAAAAATTGACCCTTATGACTGGTTTTGTGGACATATGAAGTCCTACTCAAGTGGATCAAAAATCAGTCTAAAATTAAGCTAATTTGTCTTATTTGTACTATAACACATTTTCATTTAATAGCAATTAACCTGGAATTAAGTGTCTGAAAACATTACATTCACTTTGCACTTAAGTATTATTTCCATAATTACTACTAATTTTTTTTTTTTTTTTTTAGTATGCTAAAATGTCCTTTTTTTACACACGACTCTAGAATGTTATTATTAGTTCTTTTTCGGATACTTAGAAAGAGGAGGACAGAGTGACCTGTTGCTCTGGTGGATGAATCAGTGCATTTGCCACGCTCGAGTCCAGCAGAAGCACACGTAAGCCCACTAGAGTATATCCGTTCTGTTTGATTGCGGTGTGAATTTTACCAAAGTGGTGTCTGCAGGCTCCAGGCTTGAACAGAGCTAGAGTCAAAAGTGGCCCTGGGCCTGTAGAGTACAGAGGGAGGAAGTTCAGAGAAAAGGCCATGAAAAAGCTCAGAGAAGAACATGTTCTGAGAAGACATCACTTACCCACTGTCATGTAACTGTAAAGCGACTGACTTCTGAGACCTGAGGGTTGTCAGAGATTGACAGTCAGTTCCCAGAGCGCCTGGGGGTGGGTTGGGGGTATACTTAGGCTTGGATCTGTACATACCAGGAATGTCAATGTGATGAGGCAGTAAGAAATTCAATAATGGACGACTAGTGTGATCTGAAGACGAAGGGATTTTAGATTAAGCAAACCACTTAAGGATCATCCTTACAAAACTGGTATTTACTTAAATCCTCACCAGGGACCAATCCTGCCTCAGAGAAGAAGAGGCAGGTCTGTCTGAAAGCTGTCTCAGGTGTGGGGCACATCAATACATGGAGGTTTCCTGGGTGATTTTGTGGTAAAAGTCTACGTAGGGTGATGAATGCCCTCACCATCCTCAGAGCCATTGCCCCACTTTTTCTCTGATCTCGAACGGACTCAACTCTTGTGCCTGCTGCTGAGACAGCTTGGGTTCCCACTTTAGTGCCAGCAGCTCAAATCCATCTTGTCCTGTTTGTACAAGACAAGGTAGATTTGGTTGTGTAACTTACAGTGGTTTACTCAACCAAGAATACAGGTATATTTGTGAAGGTATAGTTTTTAGGTCAGGAATGCTCCAATCCTGTTCCTGGAGGGCCACTTTCATGAAGAGTTCAACTCCAATACACCTGCCTGGTTGTTTCTAGTAATCCTGAATAGCTTGATTTGTTAATTCAGAACTCCGGCACTCCGGGAGCAGGATTGTAAACCTCTGATTTAGGTACCTGCTGCATCTCTCTTGAGAACCTTATGAAGAAAGTCCATTTCTTTCTCGACAATGTTTTGACCAGTCAGTGTGAGAACCACCACCTGCTCTGCATCTGGACAAGTAGGATATGCGTGTTTGGACAAGACCATGTGGCTACACTCCGGCACTGTCCACATGCACCCACCTGTTAGGACATATCATATACTTGTCAAAAATGCTCAGATGGTAAGTGGACAAATCATGAAAATACAAAGTAATGTATTTACTCAGAACATTGTGGTGGTTTTTAGAGTAGGGAACACTGTGAAAGCAGACATGTGGACCCAGAACATCTGTGAATCTTGTACGGATTGATCCAATAAGGCCTTGTGCAGCAAGCTCATTCATCAGACCTTCATCAGGCAAAGACACAGGACACTTAATGCTTGGAGCACCTCAGTACAGCTTCACATACAGTAAGTGGCTGGCACGATGTATGCTATCCAGATGCTCTACCTATCGGCAGTCTGGAGCAGTGTTTAACTGCACTTTCTCTCCTCATGAGCAGCACTAGGCAATGAGAGGACAGCTCAACCTGTTCTCAAGCCAGAAACACTGTAGGAGCATGACAGAACACTGCTACCTAACGGAGACAGACAGAATTTCCAGACAAATGCAATCAGCATCAATGTCATGGTAGTGTCCCACTCTCAGTTTCAATATATTTCTGTACATGTACAGGCTCACTGTTGGGTTTATTCACCTGCTTTGCGGTGAGTCCCAGAGATTGAGCTTGTTTCCTGGAGATCTGCACTCTTTGAAGTCCCAATCGACTGAAGCCTGTTTTTGCACATGCAGATAATATATAGCTGTAACAGCGTGGTCCAACCACAGCAGACACAAGGATAAATATATCCGCTGTATGGGGGCAAAGGGGTAGAAAGTTTGACTTATAAGATGCTAGAAGTCGTCACCTTTCACTGTGGCACACAAACTTGCTGGAGAAGAGATCAGAAGATGGGAACAACTGACTCCTCGGTCACCAGAGTCCTGGATCCTGTTAACAGGGTCAGCAGGTAGCTCAAAGGAATAGTTCACCAAAAAATGGAAAATTAGTCATCATTTACTCATTTGTTCCAATTGTATGACTTTTATTCTATGAAACACAAAATAAGATTGATGATGAATTTTAAATGTAAAACTATATTTGGTTTAATCCATTGATTGTTTTTGATTTGAGAGTGAATAAAGGCTTACATTTCAATCTGTTTATAATACAAAGTGGTTGTCACTTCAAAAAGCTTAGAACATACCTGTTTGAATTTTATGGATTCATTTCATGCTTGTTCGGCTCTCATTGACTTTCATAATGTGAACAAAAGCAGCTGAACAGTTCTTTGTATATCTTTGTATTTCGTATTTGAAGACAATCGTACAAGTACAACGAGTGTGAGTAAACAATGATGACCCAATTTGGGAAGTATTACAATACATTTGAATACTAACGTTGACAGGCTGTTTTTTGCTATTCTACAACCAAACCACAAACAGGCCCAGATGCACAAGACTGGCAAGACGGGGTGAGTAGAGCAGGGGTTGGTCTTGACTGTGACGGTATAGGGCGTTGATGGATGCTGGATCTGTCCGCCTTGCCAGCTGGGGGTCTGATGGCCCTGTGATCTCCTGACACACTGAGTTAGCGTGAGGACCCCGGAAAGCCATGATAAGCACTGGCTTATATGAATGCTCCCCTTCATGCATAACTGACTTGCTGACTAGAAGACAGGATATGTATTAACCCATGCAATTTGTATACATGTGTAATTATGGTGGGAGATGATACAGTATGTACCTGCAAAGTTTGTCAGCAGCTCTTGGGGCGGATAGAGGAAGCGGATACCACATACATCTAGACTTGATCTCCACATAAGCTCAAGTGTGTGATGCATTGTCAATGGGTTAAGAAACAGTGCCCTGCCTATCAGAACAAGTGCCGTCTGAAAAAACAACAACAACCATAAGATAAGAAACTGTTCACTGAAAGATATAATACCGTTTATGAAAGACTCTTTTACCTCAGTATGACACTCTTGAGAAACTGTGGCTTCTGCTCTTTGACATTTTTGGTCTGTTTCCAGAGTTTGCCAGTAGAATCCTGGGATCATACTAAAGACCTTTTCAATAGCCTGAAACAAAGTGCTTTAAAGATTTGGATCAAAACGTCTCAATCACAGTAAACATAATGGATACACAAGTCATATCAAACCTCTCGATTTGGGTTGACAGAGATGAAGCAGTCCAGGCAGGATGAGGACAAGTGGACATGGGTAGGATAAGCCTGTTCCTCCAGCAAATGATTAAGCTGAGGTACCCAGAATGCAACGGTCTTCAATGGCGTCTGTGCAAAGAACTTGCAAACTCGTCTGTAAAACATGCTCTCGTCGCTATCCACCTTCCTCATCTATGAGCAAAAATATTCAAATATAAACGTAAATATTAGTCTATTAAGACTTTTATTTAAATAATGGTTGTTCTTTTTTTTCAACATTTTCTGTGCGTTTTAGTGGGAAATCTGCAAAAGCCACTTTCACTAGTAGCTGAAAGCATTATTACATTAGCTAAATATTTAATAAATGCCAATGGATATGTGTAGAACCCACCCTGGAATTTCTACAGCCAGTTTGACCATCCTCAAGAGGCATGGCTCAGATGTACAAGGCCAAGCCATCTTCCTTATAAAACTGCTGCAGCCCAGCCACACAGAAAGGGGCATCAAGCTTGTTGCCTTTTCTCCCACAGGTTTTGGGATCAGTCTATCACAGAGTAACAAAAATATGAAATGTAGTATAAAATGTCAAATATTTTCCACTGCCAAAGATTACGGTATTTATGTGCAAACTAACAGACACACCAAAGACATGAACCATGCTATGAGTGCATTGTAAACATGTGATTTGATCAAGACTGAATCCACTGTCTGTGTTTTTCTCTGCATTCATCCAGCCACCACCCCAGGACTAGATAAAGGCACAGTCAGCAGCAAACACTCCTTCATCTGTAGATCTGGAGGTAGAAGGAAGGTAGGATGCTTCCTAAGGGAAGTGAGTAGAGCAGTGTTCAATTTATCTTATTTTATAAACAGCCAATAACTCACAGGCTCATAAAGAGTATCAGTCCTCTCAGCAGCTTCCTCCAAGTTATTAGCAGAATATTGAGGTCTGAATGCTTGCAAGAACCATCTGATTTTATGACTGTGTTGCTCTCTGTATCCATACAATTATTTCATTAGGTTATGCATGTTGCTGTGAGTGAAGAAAATGTAAGTATACTTTGTACCTTTGCTTGTTTTGAGCAGCTGGAATGTGCGAAGATGGAGTACTCTGTTTATGTTGGTCACAGAAGAACAGCAGACATTGACCTGCTGAACACCAGGTTCACTGCAGCTAGTTTCAGAATCATGAAGCTGGTTTTCCCTGAAGAGTTTTTCTGCATATCCTCAGCAAAATCTTGTGGATTTCTCCAGCTCATCTCTAACATACTTTTATTTGACCTTATGTTTTGGAGTAATAAACTCTTCCCAGAAAATTCTCTAGAAATGAAAAATAAACGCAATATAACTGAGGTTATAAATTGTGATGGCTTTTAAAGGAGAGTACATTTTATCAGCCATTCATTATTTTGAATATAAATGTATTTTTTTTCCAGAGTATTGAGTGCACTGTTAGCGATTTCTGTAAATTACACAGTATTTAACTGTAATATGAACTGTACTTTACTGTAAAACAGTTACACAGTACGTTACTGTATTTTAAAGTTGCATTATGGGAAATTTCCTCTTGGCGCCATTAAAATACAGTATTTTTCATTTACTGTAAATCCAAATACTGTAAAAAAAAAAAAAAAAGGTTTTCGTGTATGCATGCACGTTCTTGGCTTCTCCGCACTTCACTTCAGTCGCACACGTATCGTTACCGCAAACACAGAAAGCCCGCAAAAATAGTGAACAAATCTGAACAACACAATCAATTCTAGATGCACCGTGGAAGGCTGTAAGTTACAGTCGTGTCGACTATTCTCAAGCCTTTGTGAACACCTAAGATGACACATTCGAGATGGTAAAAAAACGGAATGTCCAGTTAGTAACAGTAACAAGTATTTTAGAGTGAAGTAATAATTTTCAGCACACCTTAGTAGGAAGCATAAATGTGATTTTGAGAAATCTGTGTCGATAATAACGTTACTGCGCTTTCTGCTGCTGTGCCAGATGTGAATAACGTTACTGATGCAGCTGTTTTGTTGTTGATGACCCACTTAAAAGGATGATTACTATAACTGAAACTTAGAAAAACTGTGTGGTTTGTGTGTGTGTAGGTCACAACAACTCTGGCAGATGCAAAGACCAGGCTTGACTTCTTCTACTCCAACACTGTAAAAAGTAATCACTGAATCTACTTAAGAAAAGCGAGTAAACATAACTGATTTTTACAAATTTGTTGAATTTACTTAATTACACTGTGTTATGTGAACTTTCAGGTGGATGCAATAGTTAAACTAAACAACTTTAGTAAACAGTACTTAAGAGCATCTAGTTTGTTGGATTAAATCCCACTATGTGCCCTAATAACTCTAGACCAGTAGGTGGCGGAAGGTTGGTTTAAACAAAACATCACCAGAAGAAGACAACAAACTGAACTTCAGAGTCAGATTGTGTTTGAAATGTGGCTGCAAGATTAGGTAAGTTTTTGGTGATCTACTTGTAAACTATATTGTCACTATCATATTGCTATCGTTTTTGAGGAAAAGAAAAGGCAGATTTTATTAGTTTTTACTGACGAGAATTACTGTAACCATCAGTTAGTGTACTAGCTAGCCAGTGGC